AACAAGTAACAGACCCAATGAGTGAACCAAAATTGGACAGGCCCCCCCTCCACCAGGGCAGCAGGAGAGACTGGTGCCTGGGAGCCTAGACGCAGGGTAGACCAGCCCCGGGGCTAGGCAAGTGGCTTGACCCTCAGGAACGCACTTGCCCTCTCTGTCCAGTGGGGATGAAAATACTAATCATGCACATCTCGTGGGGCATTAGGACGGGGTTGCAGGAGGCCACCTGTAAGGAAGCGGCTCATATGCCTGGCACAGAGTAGGCAGGTCCTGGCACAGAGTAGGCACCTGCGTGTGGTTAGTACACTCTACTCAGTGTGGAGGAGACCTGCCCTCTGGTGGAGGAAAGCACCAGAGCGGGAGACTCACTTGCTCATTGGACCCCACGTTAGCGCCCTGTGTTCCAGCTGTGCCCTCCTCCACGCTCCCAGCTCCCCGCGCCTCTGCGTGCTACCCCCCAGCTTCCTCTTCCTCACAACACAGTACTATTCACCTTGATAGAGTCATTGGCAGGTGCTAATCCCTTTACATAGATTTCATCACCTCATCTGCCCGGCAACCCTACGCTGCTATAATCACGCCCGTTTCACAGATGAGAAAACTGAGGCTCAGAGCAGTGAAACCACCCACACGTAGACCCACAGCTAATGAGAAGCAGTGCTGGGGTTCAAAGAACTTAACTCTTTCCCACCTTCTCCATTATCTGTATTAATAATAAGAGTGCATAGGGAAAAAAAAAAAAAGAATGCATAGGATTTTATTTATTAAAATCAGTAAGAAACCAATTTGACAATAAATTTCATATTAAAAAATAATAAAACAAAATAAGAGTCAGTACCTATACTGAGGGCCTACTGTGTGATGGGGCCCTAGGCCGAAAGATTTTTAGTCTAGTTTTTTTTTTTTTTTTTAAGTATTTATTTTTGAGAGAGCAGAGTAAGAGAGCTCAGGGGGGGTGGAACGCAGAGAGACAGAGGGACAGAGGATCTGAAGCAGGGACCCCCCACTGACAGCAGCAAGCTGGATGCAGGGCTTGAAGCCGTGAACGCACGAGATCATGACCTGAGCCAAAGTCTCACGCTCAACCGTCAACCCCAACCGACTGAGCCTCCCAGGCGCCCCTAGGCGGAAAGACTTTAATACAGAGCCTTGTGGGTTAGAGGTCAGACCCCAGGGTTCAAAGCCCACTTCAGCCATTTACCCTCTCCGTGACCTGGAGCAAACGACTCTGCCTTGGTTTCCCCATCTATAAAGTGGGGCTGACAGCCGTGCTGGCCTCAAGGAGCTGTTTAGGGACTCAGTGCTGAGAGATACATGAAGCACTCGGAACAGCCCCTGGTGTGTGTAAGCAACCAGTGAGTGTTAACTGTTATTAGCCCCACGTTACAAATTAGGAAAAAGAATCAGAGGGTTTAAGTAACCTGCGTGAAGCCTCACAGCACAGACTGGAAGGGATCCAAAATCCTTGGATTATAATCGCCAGCCTTCTGGTGCCAGGATCCCCTACAAACCTTCTCCCGATCGGGGGTCCGTGCCCAATAAAAGTAATAATAATACCGTATTTCATGGATTCTAAGACTCAAGAGTTTCTGCCCTTTTCCCACCCCTCAGTGAGTCATGCTGTAAGTGACAGTGTCACCGCGGGACTGATGACACAGAGCTGACAGAAACCTTCTGGAACTAGTTATCGGTGATAGTTAATGCACGGCCTCGTGCCCTTTGAAATGGTTTCAATGGCAGATTTCAGTTTTTAACTACAATTAAACACATCGATGATGCTGAGATCGGGGAAATACGGTAATAACAAACAGCCCAGGGATGTGGCCCGGACGGGTTGGAGACCCAGAGCGAGCGGCCTCCCGGATGCCCCTCGCGTGGAG